ATCTAAAGCCTGCAATGACAATAAGTACATATCTTTCAAATAATCATCCTAAATGTAAATGGACTAAATGCACCAATCAAAAGACACAGAGTAATAGAATGGATAAAAAAAGCAAGATCCATCCATATGCTGTTTACAAGAGACTCACCTCAAACCCAAAGACATGCACAGACTAAAAGTCAAGGGATGGAAAAAAATATTTCATGCAAACGACAGGGAGAAAAAAGCAGGTGTTGCAGTACTAGTATCAGACAAAATAGACTTCAAAACAAAGAAAGTAATGAGATAAAGAAGGACATTAAATAATGTAAAGGGCTCAGTCCAACAAGAGGATATAACCATTATAAATATATATGCACCCAATACAGGAGCACCAGCATATGTGAAACAAATACTAACATAATTCAAGGAGGAAATAGAATGCAATGCATTCATTTTAGGAGACTTCAACACACCACTCACTCCAAAGGACAGATCCATCAGACAGAAAATAAGTAAGGGACACAGAGGCACTGAACAACACACTAAAACAGATGGATCTAACAGACACCTATAGAACTCTACATCCAAAAGCAACAGGATACACATTCTTCTCAAGTGCACATGGAACATTCTCAAGAATAGACCACATACTAGACCACAAAAAGAGCCTCCGTAAATTCCAAAAGATTGAAATCCTACCAGCCAACTTTTCAGACCACAAAGGTATAAAACTAGAAGTAAATAGTACAAAGAAAGCAAAAAGGCCCACAAACAAATGGAGGCTTAACAACATGCCCCTAAATAATCAATTGATCAACGACCAAATCGAAATAGAGATTAAGCAATATATGGAAACAAATGACAACAACAACACAAAGCCCCAACTTCTGTGGGATGCAGTGAAAGCTGTCTTAAGAGGAAAGTATATTGCAATCCAGGCAAAATTAAAGAAGGAAGAACAATCCCAAAAGAATAGTCTAACGTCACAATCATGGAAGTTGGAAAAAGAAGAACAAATGAGGCCTAAAGTCAGCAGAAGGAAGGACATAATAAAGATCAGAGAAGAAATAAATGAAATTGAGAAGAATAAAACAATAGAAAAAGTCAATGAAACGAAGAGCTGGTTCTTTGAGAAAATAAACAAAATAGATAAGCCTCTAGCCCAACTTATTAAGAGAAAAAGAGAGTCAACACAAATCAACATAATCAGAAATGAGAATGGAAAAATCACGACAGACTCCACAGAAATACAAAGAATTATTAAAGACTACTATGAAAACCTATATGCCAACAAGCTGGAAAACCTAGAAGAAATGGACAACTTCCTAGAAAAATACAACCTCCCAAGACTGACCAAGGAAGAAACACAAAAGTTAAACAAACCAATTACAAGCAAAGAAATTGAAACAGTAATCAAAAAACTACCCAAGAACAAAACCCCGGGGCCGGACGGATTTACCTCGGAATTTTATCAGACACACAGAGAAGACATAATACCCATTCTCCTTAAAGTGTTCCACAAAATAGAAGAAGAGGGAATACTCCCAAACTCATTCTATGAAGCCAACATCACCCTAATACCAAAACCAGGCAAAGACCCCACCAAAAAAGAAAATTACAGACCAATATCCCTGATGAATGTAGATGCAAAAATACTCAATAAAATATTAGCAAACAGAATTCAACAGTATATCAAAAGGATCATACACCATGACCAAGTGGGGTTCATCCCAGGGATGCAAGGATGGTACAACATTCGAAAATCCATCAACATCATCCACCACATCAACAAAAAGAAAGACAAAAACCACATGATCATCTCCATAGATGCTGAAAAAGCATTTGACAAAATTCAACATCCATTCATGATAAAAACTCTCAGCAAAATGGGAATAGAGGGCAAGTACCTCAACATAATAAAGGCCATATATGATAAACCCACAGCCAGCATTATACTGAACAGCGAGAAGCTGAAAGCATTTCCACTGAGATCGGGAACCAGACAGGGATGCCCACTCTCCCCACTGTTATTTAACATAGTACTGGAGGTCCTAGCCACGGCAATCAGACAAAACAAAGAAATACAAGGAATCCAGATTGGTAAAGAAGAAGTTAAACTGTCACTATTTGCAGATGATATGATACTGTACATAAAAAACCCTAAAGACTCCACTCCAAAACTACTAGAACTGATATCGGAATACAGCAAAGTTGCAGGATACAAAATTAACACACAGAAATCTGTAGCTTTCCTATACACTAACAACGAATCAATAGAAAGAGAAATCAGGAAAACAATTCCATTCACCATTGCATCAAAAAGAATAAAATACCTAGGAATAAACCTAACCAAGGAAGTGAAAGACTTATACTCTGAAAACTACAAGTCACTCTTAAGAGAAATTAAAGGGGACACTAATAAATGGAAACTCATCCCATGCTCATGGCTAGGAAGAATTAATATCGTCAAAATGGCCATCCTGCCGAAAGCAATATACAAATTTGATGCAATCCCTCTCAAATTACCAGCAACATTCTTCAATGAATTGGAACAAATAATTCAAAAATTCATATGGAAACACCAAAGACCCCGAATAGCCAAAGCAATCCTGAAAAAGAAGAATAAAGTAGGGGGGATCTCACTCCCCAACTTCAAGCTCTACTACAAAGCCATAGTAATCAAGACAATTTGGTACTGGCACAAGAACAGAGCCACAGACCAGTGGAACAGATTAGAGACCCCAGAAATTAACCCAAACATATATGGTCAATTAATATTTGATAAAGGAGCCATGGACATACAATGGCAAAATGACAGTCTCTTCAACAGATGGTGCTGGCAAAACTGGACAGCTACATGTAGGAGAATGAAACTGGACCATTGTCTAACCCCATATACAAAGGTAAACTCAAAATGGATCAAAGACCTGAATGTAAGTCATGAAACCATTAAACTCTTGGAAAAAAACATAGGCAAAAACCTCTTAGACATAAACATGAGTGATCTCTTCTTGAACATATCTCCCCGGGCAAGGAAAACAACAGCAAAAATGAGCAAGTGGGACTACATTAAGCTGAAAAGCTTCTGTACAGCGAAAGACACCATCAATAGAACAAAAAGGAACCCTACAGTATGGGAGAATATATTTGAAAATGACAGATCTGATAAAGGCTTGACGTCCAGAATATATAAAGAGCTCACACGCCTCAACAAACAAAAAACAAATAACCCAATTAAAAAATGGGCAGAGGAACTGAACAGACAGTTCTCCAAAAAAGAAATACAGATGGCCAAGAGACACATGAAAAGATGCTCCACATCGCTAATTATCAGAGAAATGCAAATTAAAACTACAATGAGGTATCACCTCACACCAGTAAGGATAGCTGCCATCCAAAAGACAAACAACAACAAATGTTGGCGAGGCTGTGGAGAAAGGGGAACCCTCCTACACTGCTGGTGGGAATGTAAATTAGTTCAACCATTGTGGAAAGCAGTATGGAGGTGCATCAAAATGCTCAAAACAGACCTACCATTTGACCCAGGAATTCCACTCCTAGGAATTTACCCTAAGAACGCAGCAATCAAGTTTGAGAAAGACAGATGCACTCCTATGTTTATCGCAGCACTATTTACAATAGCCAAGAATTGGAAGCAACCTAAATGTCCATCTGTAGATGAATGGATAAAGAAGATGTGGTACATATACACAATGGAATATTATTCAGCCATAAGAAGAAAACAAATCCTACCATTTGCAACAACATGGATGGAGCTAGAGTGTATTATGCTCAGTGAAATAAGCTAGGCGGAGAAAGACAAGTACCAAATGATTTCACTCATATGTGGAGTATAAGAGCAAAGAAAAACTGAAGGAACAAAACAGCAGCAGAATCACAGAACGCAGGAATGCACTAACAGTTACCAAAGGGAAAGGGACTGGGGAGGATGGGTGGGAAGGGAAGGGAGGGATAAGGGCAGGAAAAAAGAAAGGGGGCATTATGATTAGCATGTATAATGTGGGGGGGCATGGGGAAGGCTGTACAACACAGAGAAGATAAGTAGTGATTCTACAGCATCTTACTACGCTGATGGACAGTGACTGTAATAGGGTGTTGGGGGGGACTTGGTGAAGAGGGCAGCCTAGTAAATAAAATGTTCTGCATGTAATTGTAGATTAATGATAACAAAATAAAAAAAAAGAAAGAAAAAGATACACATTTTAGAACTGCTTGTAATTTAAAAACTGGAAACAATTTAATAAACATAGATGGAGAATAGAAAAAACAAAAGGTTAGCATTTATTTATTATAGGTGTTTGATCATATATTTGCATATTTTCAGTTTCTGTAATTTAAAACATTTCAAAGTAATATTTTTAAAGAAGTCAAAATAATATTTTTAAAGACTATAAAGTATGAAGGACTACAAAACAATAATTTTTAATTAATCTGCTGTATTCTGATAAACTAAAAAATAGTGCTACTATGACATGAAATTAGCATTTGTCTTGAGAGATCACAAATTGATTTCACCAGTTTTTTCTTCTTGTTTCTAGAATTTGCAGACTACATAAAATTTACATTTAGACTAAGCATTGGAAGATATTCATAAACTTCTGGCTATATGACTTGCATTATTAATGTAACTCCAAGGTCACTGATCTACTTACCACTTTCACCGTTCCTTCATGTAATCAGTATATATGCCCAATACATTTGGTCTCCAAAGCCAAAAGACCATCCCCATTGAGAATCCTTCCTGGATCCTTCCCATTGTGTGTACTATCCTAGTCATCACTTACATACTGAAGTTCTATTCTTTGAGTTCATGTGAGCTTAGTTTCTGGGGTCTTTAAATTGACGAGAGGCACTTTTGATACTCTGTTCAACTATGAGGACACATACAATCAATAAACCTTAAAGATCCCCTCCTTTTTGTAACATCATTTTGTTTACTGTTTTTAATTTCATAAAAAAGAATCACTCTGCAAATAGTTGTCTCAAATATTACTCACCTCTGGATAAAGATGGAAGCGTTTCACTGTATTAATTACAAGGGGATATTCTGTGAGCCTGTCATGCATAATCATCCACACTCCTTCCAAAAATGAAGGTGCTTCAATAATGGTCTTGAAATGGGAATAATAAAGTCCCTTTAAAAAAAGGCACAAATTGTTGGTCTAAGTAAAATTTGAAAATGTCTATTTTTATAATGCCTTTTACAACAATTTCTTCTGGAAAAAAAGGAAAACATCAATTACAAGACTTCCTAATTTCTCCTTACTACTGCATTCTTGGGTTCAAAAAAACAAACATTTGCAGCATACATTATCACCAAAGTATTCTTTCATATTTTTTGTAGGCTTGAAAAGGAGTTGGGAGGGATAGTCAAATGTTAAGGAGTTTTTCTAGCCACACATTACAATATGTATACATTTTTAATTTTACCAAGTCTAATTTTACCCCCAAATTATGAGATGCCTAGAGGTTGAGATCTGATGAATTCGGGTATAAAGAATTCATAGGAAATTAATTCTTTTCTTTACACCTCTTAAGAAATAACACAATGATTGTAAGTATCACGACACAAAACTTTATACTTTCAACTTACTTTCCAGCTCCATCTAACAGCTCTGCACAAAGTGAAAGCTAACCAAATGTGAAATGACTATTGTTCATGACACTAATGAAGTGTCCTGAAAAGGGGATTATCTTAATGAATTATTCCAGCATGTGAAAAATAATGATTTATTAGGCTAGTAAAAGTACTGCTTAGTTAAAATTCAAAGATTAACAAAAGCACATTGCTTCACATTACTTCCTTCATCAAATCCTGCTTTCCTTCCTAAAATATAAAAGCAAATAAAGGGAGACACTGTAACAAACTCTCAACAAACATTAAAAATTATCTTCAACTCAACACTCATACATGCCTTATACAACTACTTTATTTTGATATGTTAAGCAACACTACTGGCTACTAAATTGAAGATCTGTTTTAGCTGATGTCTGAAAGAGCATTTATTCATAGTTTTGATGGGTAAAATTTGAGCATATATAAGAATTTTTCCTTTCTGCTTATGAGGGCAATGAGGCAATACTAAAATGAAAGGATATCTAATATGCATAAGTCTATATTTAGAGAAATAGAAATTATATAAATAAGTTTTTATTAATAACAACTTATTTTTTTGTGTGGGGTACTGTGCTACATGCTTCCTTCATTATCTCTTTTCATTTTCAATAAAACCCTGTAAGACTGGCATTGTTTCTAGTTAACAGATGAGATTATTGAGAATCAGAGAGGTTAACTGACTAGCCGTCATACAATGAAGCACAGAACTGCTATCTGAATCCAGTGATCTGTCATTAGAGTTCAGACTTCACCATAACTACATTTTATTTAACAGTATTTCATCTTTTCTTAGGAAAAATAAACTATAAACTATTAAAAATACAAATACCATACAAATACTAAAGTATCCAATTCTTCAAAGCTTTAAGGGGGCTAGAAGAGTAAGATCTCAAAAGCAGTGGCTGAGGTACCTAGAATGGACAGATTGATGGAGACAAAAAATAAAACAGAGGTTAGGAGAGGCAGAGGGAGAGAAGAGTAGGGAATTGGTGTTTAATAGGTGCAGTTTCTGTCTGGGGTAATGAAAAAGTTCTGGATGAAAAGTTATGGCAATGGCTATACAACAATATGAGTGTAGTAAATGCCAAAGGATGGTACACTTAAAAATAGCTGAAATGGTAAACTTTGCTTTTTTAAATATAAATGTTTAATTTTAATTTAGCCACAATTAAAAACAACCCAAAAAATCAGTGGCTACAGAGTCAGGAGAGCAATTTTCAGTTTTCCAACTAGCTGACCTGGAGGACAATCCTGGTCTCAACTGTAAAATGCTGCATGGATTGATTCTGGCAATCATTACCCATTTAATCCTCACAGTAATTATGTGAAATATGTATGGCAAATGGTATTATCTCCATTTTATATATTAGATATTAAAAGAACATAAAAATTATTAAGGAAACCATATCAAAAATTGTCTCTTAGAAAGAGATTACTTTGAAATCTAGAGAGCTTAGGAAAAAAAGAACCAGTTAAACTTGAGGTCTCCCCACACTAGCCAAAGAGCAATTTCTGATAATTTGATGCCCCTATATCACTTCTTAAATGTTGTCTTTGCTCTCCTTCTTTCTCAGCTATATAATTAATCTTTATTATCTTAGAAAGAAGACTACATCAGGAAAGGAAAAGAGATAACAAGATAAGTAGAAGAAAAAGAACACTTAAATATTTTCTACTTAAATAATGAAACTAGGTTATAGCTTGAGAAACAGTGCAGCCCACCAAAATTCCTTTCAGTTCCTAACAAATTTCCACTTTATACTCTTACTGTTCTTAAACTACAAATTAATTGAAAGAAGAACCTAACCATTTCAGAGCGAAAAGTCATCTCCCGTTCCAAAGATGAGAGGTGAGAAAAATGACGATCTTTTTCACAAAGTGTAATTAAATGTTTCCTAGAAAAAAAATGAAGTACCATACTGTAAGAATAAGAACATATTTCAAATCCAGTGCTAAAATAACTAAGTTATAAAGTACAAAAACTGAAAAAGGGCAAAAAATAAATGTAATAAATATTGACATAATTTTATAATTGTTTAGCAATATATTTTTAGGCACGTATAAACAGCTGAAATTCCTTAATTCAACAGCTATACCATCCTTAATTTGCATAGTAGATGCTTTCCAATGAAGTAGAAAATAGAGCAAAATTCTATACGTCAACTCCATCTTCAACTCACCTTCATTTACATAAAGGACATATGCCAGGCTATCAGTAGCTCTAGGAAATGTTCCTTACTATTACAGCCCTAGTTCTAACATCAAAATCTCCCTGCACGGGGGCGAAGCCAAGATGGCAGCATGAGTACTTCAGTGGAAATCTCCTCCCCAAAACATATATATTTATGAAAATACAATAAATACAACTATTCCTAAAAGAGACACCAGTGGATACAGTACAACAGCCAGGATACATCTACATCTGAGAGAACTCAACATCACACGAAGGGAGTAAGATACGAGCCGCAGCCAGGAGGGACCTGAATGCCCTCCCACCTCAGAAACCGGCGGGAAGAAAGGAGTTGGAACGGGGAGGGAGTGAAAGCCCAGGACTGCTAAACAACCAGCTCTAGAAATCTGCACCTGGAGCGCAGACACAAGGTGCATGGGGTGCTGGATATTAGAGAAACGGAAAAGCAAAACCTGTGGGTGGGTCCCTGCAACAGATGCCCTGGAGACAAAAGAAAAGCGAGTGCTTTTTGCAAGTCTTAAAGAGACAGGGACCCCACAGCTGGACAAAGTCATCCTGACACACTTAGCCAGCAGCTAGGAATACCAGGGAACTTTAGGTGCCCTAACCCCATGGGCAGCAGGGCAGCTCTGAGGCCCCTCACAGAACTAAGCAGCCTGCCAGTCGTTCCCCCAACAGGCACGGACCCCGACACACTGGCCCAGTAGTGGAATAGTGGCAGTGCGTGCCGGGGGCAGCGGCACCAGAGGAGACCAAGAGTGGCCCACATGCACAGGCAGCACCAGAGAGGCCTGGGAGAGGTCCACACAAGCCTGCAGCAGCAGTGACTGAGTGGCCCACACGTGCCAGCAGCGGCAGCACCAGAGGGGCACAGGAGAGGCCTGCGCACACCTGCAGCAGTGCCACAGGGAGCAGCCACACTCACAGCAGCCGAATGGAATGCTAGTCTGATGCACAGCCACCCGGGACAGACATAAAGGCAGCTGCCGGCACACAGCTGCCTGGCAGGGGCGCCGCTATCGCAGAGGAGTGCACCTGGCATGCCTGCCACTCCCCGCAGGGCTCTGCACTGCTGTGACGGAGACCCCGCCCACAGCAGTTTAGGGGATTAACCCAGTGGCTGCTCCAGGAGTGTGGGTAACTGACACAGGCAGCGGAGAAGGGCAAGGCTTCCAGCAAGCAGGAAAGGACTTTCTTCTCCCAGCTGACACACCCGCAACCTGCCTATAGCCTCTGCTATCACCACGAAAAGGCAGAAAAATATAGTCCAGCCCAAAATAGTTCAGACAACCCATGAGAGAGGAGCTGCAGAGACAGACCTAACCAATCTCCCTGAAAAAGAATTCAAAATAAAAATCATAAACATGCTGATGGATCTGCAGAAAAATATGCAAGAGCTAAAGGAGCAAGTACAGAGGGAGACTACAGAAATAAAATGATCTCTGGAAGGACTTAAAAGCAGAATGGACAGGATGCAAGAGGCCATTAATAGACTAGAAACCAGAGAACAGGAATGCAGAGAAGCTGATGCAGAGAGAGGCAATAGGATCTCCAGGAATGAAACAATATTAAGAGAACTGTGTGACCAATCCAAAAGGAACAATATTCGGATTATAGGGGAACCAGAAGAAGAAGAGAGAGAAAAAGGGATAGAAAGTGTCTTTGAAGAAATAATTGCTGAGAACTTCCCCAAACTGAGGGAGGAAATAGTTGCTCAGACCATGGAAGCACACAGAACTCCCAACGGAAGGGACCCAAAGAGGAGAGCACCAAGACACATAATAATTAAAATGACAAAGATCAAGGACAAGAACAGAGTATTAAAGGCAGCCAGAGAGAGAAAAAAGGCCACCTACAAAGGAAAACACATTAGGCTATCATCAGACTTCTCAACAGAAACCTTACAGGCCAGAAGAGAATGGCATGATGTATTTAATGCAATGAAACATAAGGGCCTTGAAACAAGGATACTGTATCCAGCACGATTATCATTTAAATATGAAGGAGGGATGAAACAATTCCCAGACAAGCAAAAGTTGAGGGTATTTGCCTACCACAAACCACCTCTAAAGGGTATTTTAGAGGGACTGCACTAGATGGGAGCACTCCTAAAAAGAGCGCAGAACAAAACACCCAACATATGAAGAATGGAGGAGGAGGAATAAGAAGGGAGAGAAATAAAGAATCATCAGACTGTGTTTAAAATAGCTCAATAAGCAACTTAAGTTAGACAGTAAGGTAGTAGAGAAGCTAACCTTGAACCTTTGGTAACAACAAACTTAAAGCCTGCAATGACAATAAGTACATATCTTTCAATACTCACCCTAAATGTAAATGGACTAAATGCACCAATCAAAAGACACAGAGTAATAGAATGGATAAAAAAGCAAGACCAATCTATATGCTGCTTACAAGAGACTCACCTCAAATGCAAAGACATGTACAGATTAAAAGTAAAGGGATGGAAAAGGATATTTCATGCAAACAACAGAGAGAAAAAAGCAGGTGTTGCAGTACTTGTATTAGACAAAATAGACTTCAAAACAAGAAAGTAACAAGAGATAAAGAAGGACATTACATAATGATAAAGGGCTCAGTCCAACAAGAGGATATAACCATTATAAACATATATGCACCCAATACAGGAGCACCAGCATATGTGAAACAAATACTAACAGAATTAAAGGAGGATATAGAATGCAATGCATTCATTTTGGGAGACTTCAACACACCACTCACTCCAAAGGACAGATCCACCA